GTGGTTGACATGGATGCCGAGTAGGCCCTCCATCCTATCATCAAACTAAAACATCAAAATGAGGTTGATGTCCCAATTGTCAAGCTTGACCATAATCTTAAGGTTGTGGGGCAAGAGGCTCCCGGGTTCCAATTTACCAAAACGTGCTTGGAAAGCCTTCCCGGGATCAAACCAAGCAAGGATGGTTATGTTTACTCTCCTAAATTCCTTAAGGGTGTGTATAGACACTATCTTAACGGATGTTTTGAGAAGGGAAATTTGCAAGGAAATGCCTTTAAGGTCAAAGACCTTAGAAAATTCACTCTCAACTCCACTCAGATTGTTCATGATATCCGAGAGGCTTTTCTTGATTATGTGGTTGTCAAACTTGACCTTCATTTGGAAGACAAACCATGGATATATCTTAAAAATATTGAGGATGCTAATGATGAGTTTTTTAGACTTGATGACTACTTGGAGACTACTAGTAATCACTTGACCAAAGGTATCAATTTCACCAAAGATTATTTGAAATCCCTCCTCGGGATCTATCCCGTGGACAATGGTTATGAATTCTCTCACTTATTTTTGGAGGAGGTATACTTCCTCTTCTTGGACAGGTATAGACCGAGGGCTAATGTTAAGCCTAGCCCAAAAGGAAATGAGGTTAGAAAGGTTTGGAGGAAGAAACAAACTTAACTTTTTTATGTTTGTGTCTTCTTGGAATATTAGAGGTCTTAATAAGACCTCAAAACAGAATATTATTGCTTCATTTATCCGCTCTAATAATATTCATGTTTGCTGCCTTCTTGAGACTAAGATGTCCACTCCAAACTTTGATAAGCTTATGTTTAATAGATGGCCAAATTGGCAATCTAAGACTAACTTCGATAAGATTGATGGTGGTAGAATTGCCCTTGTGGGATTCCACTTTTGTGAACCTTATTATTTTGGAGGTTGATAAACAACACATCCATTGTGAGATTAAGTGTATTACTACACAAAATACCTTTCTTGTGACTTTTATCTATGCTCTCTATATGGTGGTGGAAAGGAGATCCCTTTGGGAGCACATTGCTAGTCTTGAGCCCAATATTAACATTCCTTAGCTTGTTGTGGAGGACTTCAATTGTGTGGGCAGCCCTAATGAGAGGGTTGGGCCTACTCCTCCCTCGGCTTACTATATCCAGCATCTAAATGATTTCAAGGTCCAAGCTAACCTTATCGACACCCCTTCCACCGGTGAATTCCTCACTTGGAATAGGAGTTCCCTTTGGGCCAAACTTGATAGGGTTCTTATGAACTCCTCTTGGTCTAACAACAATATCACTTTCATAACCCACTTCTTTGAAATGGAAGTAGAGTTTGACCATTGTGCTTCTCTTGTTACTGTTGGCCGTAACACTCTTACCGGTTCAAGGCCCTTCAAATTCTTTAACATGTGCCTTAAGCACGAGGCCTTTACTACTATCCTAACCACACATTGGGGCCATGATATGTATGGTACTCCCCAATTCAGGCTGGCTCGCAAGCTAAAAAGGCTCAAAAGGCCTCTAAAAGAGCTTAATTTCAATGCTTTTGGGAACATTTCAAGTAAGGCTAAAGATGCTAAGAATGAGTACAAAAGAGTTCATTTTCTTTCTCTCCTTTCGCCTTTGGATGATTCTATTAAGTTTGAGGTCACTTTAGCAAAAAAGAATTCTCTCTACTTCAAAAGGGCCGAGGAAGGCTTTTTTAGACAAAAGGCTAAATCTAATCATTTGTTCCAAATTGACCGTGGGACCAAATACTTCCATTCTATTGTTAGAAAGAATGTGGCTAGGAATTCCATTACTTCTATTAAATTAGAGAATGGTAACTCCACCACCTCTATGAATCATGTGGCTTGTGAGTTTGTGAGGTTTTACACAAACCTTTTTGGAACTTCCACTCCTTCTCTGGATATTGATCCTAATATTGTTCTCTCGGGTAATTACATGGATGCTACCAAAGCTACTTAGCTTGTTAGCCCCATTTCTGATAATGAGATTAAGAATGCCCTTTTTTATATTGGAGACAACAAATCTCCGGGCCCTGATGGCTTCACCTCGGCCTTTTTCAAACATAACTGGAACATTGTAGGACATGATGTCTTGTTGGCCGTTAGGGGCTTCTTCAATTCGGGGAAACTTCTTAAGCAAATTAACCATACGATTATTGCCCTTATCCCTAAGACCTCTCATGATCCTACTGCGGCTGACTTTAGGCCTATTGCTTGCACCAATGTCATTTACAAGACCATTACTAAGATCATTGCCTCTAGATTGATCCCTTGTTTACCTGAACTTATTGATCCCTCTCAAGGGGCTTTTTTTGATGGGAGACTTATGCTTGACAATGTCTTTTTGGCCCAAGAGCTTATCAAAGGCTATACTAGAAAGCGTATGTCTCCTAGATCTATGATCAAGGTAGATCTTAGGAAGGCTTATGATACTATTTTATGCGACTTCTTAAATAGTGTCTTGATTACTATTGGCTTTCCTAACAGATTTGTTAAGTGGATTATGGAGTGTGTTTCTACACCTTCATTTTCCATTCCCATTAATGGGATACTCCACGGTCATATCAAAGGCAAGAGAGGTCTTCGCCAAGGTGACCCTATGTCACCTCTCCTTTTTGTGATTTACCTTGAGTATTTCTGTAGACTGCTCCACCATAGAACCAAGGTTCCTCCCTTTAAGTTTCACCCCAAGTGTGGGAAACTTAAAATCTCTCATATGGCTTATGCTGATGATCTCATGTTTTTTTCTAGGGGGGACTGTCCCTCTATTAAAATTCTTATAGATGCTTTAGATGAGTTTGGCAATATTTCTGGCCTCAAAGTCAACTTTGACAAATCCAATATTTTTCTTGGTGGACTGGTCGAACATGATCTTAACCATATTCTTAGTTTGATTGATTTCAAGGAGGGGACTTTCCCTGTGAGATATCTTGGCATTCCTTTGGCTCCTCTTAAAATTGTTGTGGCACAATATGCTCCTTTGTTGGACTCTATTACTACCTTTATCACTGCTTGGAATACCAAAACCCTCTCCTGTGCTGGGAGAGTTGAGCTTATTAAATCTGTTATCCAAGGTGTTCATTCCTTTTGGCTTCAAGCCCTCCCTATTCCTAGGGCGGTTCTTGATAGAATCACTTCTATCTATCGCATCTTCCTTTGGGGATGTAAGTATGCTAGAGTTGCTTGGACTGATATTTCCCTCCCTAAAGAGGAGGACGGTCTTGGTATCCATGACACTCACATTTGGAACTCAGCCCTTTTGGCTAAAACCCTTTGGGACATCCATACAAAGAAGGATAACCTCTGGGTTAGATGGATTCATGGTGTCTACCTTAATGGTAGAGGTGTTTGGGAGTTCACACCTCATACAAGAGACTCCCAATTGATCAAAAAGATTGCTTTGAGTAGGAATCAAATCCTAACCCATTTTCACAATGCCGATGATGCCATTGACTTCCTTAATGGTTGTCAAACTAATGGGAAGCTCTCCTCGGCCAAGGTGTATAATCTCCTTAGAATTAAAGGGGGAACTCAAATGTGGATGTCTTTCATTTGGAAGAACTACATTCCCCCCAAATTCTCCTTCACTGTTTGGTTAGCTTTTCAGAATAGACTTGCTACTTTTGATAGCTTACATAGACTTGATGTTGTTAATGTTTGCCCGTTTTGTAAGGGTGGTCCGGAAACGGTACCACACCTATTTTTTGCTTGTTCTTTTGCAGGTAGAGTGTGGCATAAAGTGAAAACATGGCTGGACATTCCTAGGGAGATGGGAACCTTGCATAGCTCGCTGAAATGGATCAAGAGGAAGAGGCAAGGCTCCGGGATCAAAGCTAAGGCGGCTAGGATTGCTTTTTGCTACTCCATCTATTGGATTTGGAGGACTCGGAATGCCACCTGTTTCGATGGTCTTATCCCTAAGGAGGAAGAAGTTTTTGCTAGAATTCAGTACATTGTGTATAAGATTTTGTATAGCATTTATCCTGTTGAGCTTGTAAACTTTTAAACCCTTTTTGTTTGGCCTTTCACCATGTTGTTTGGTGACTGGCCGTGGGGTTTGGTTGCGGCAGGTTGCTTTGGATTTGTTTGTGCTTCACCTTCACCTTTCCTTGGTGTTGGTTGTTGCGTTTGATTGCCTTTTTGCTGGGGAAAGGTTGTCGTTGTTGGATAACCTTCAGTTTTGTTTCCCTTTTTGTTTGTACATTCTTTAACCTCCCTCTTCTCTTGGGTGTTTACTTTAATATACTTACAGTTAACAAAAAAATGGGTTACACTAAAATGGGGGAGGATTGTTGGTAATTTTAGTGTCACCGACCGTTTTATGTAATTGGAAATGACATGAGTGCCAATGAAGATTAGAACTGTATTCCGATACAAGCTAGTAGGTGTGGAGTGCACACTTGTATATAAGAACGAGTTTTATTCCAAAGTGTCTACGACTGTGGAACTCGTGGTAGAACACTCAGTAGACCAACTCTGTGGTTCTAGACCGAGGTCTAGAGCAGTTGGGCAGTTTCGTGCAGTTTTCCAAAAAATGCCACAGTTATTCTCAAACAGGGGCGGAGCCAGGGGAGGGCCAACCCTGGCCCTGGCCCAGTCTAAATTTAAAAAATGTTCATATTTTTAGTGTAAAAAATTCTGTGTAATTTTTTTTCAAAATATATTCTTTGCACCGGCCTAGTCTGGTCCAGTGCTCTAGCTTCGCCCCTGTTCTCAAACGTGTTGTAACTGCCTCGAACGGTTAATATGGATATATGTCACCATATTTCGTACAGAGAAGGTAGAAAGAAGATATACAACATATCTTTATCACTTTTGGCATTCAAATTAAGAAAACAGTCCTTATACTCACTAGTTTGGCTCTAGTTTTGTGTCTAAGTTCTAAAGTGTCCTTAAAGTTTATCTTAGATTGAATTTCTTGTAACTGTCATCGGAGAGAAATATCAATTTGGCAAGTGAACTTACAAGATCTTAAGAAATCCAAGTAATCAATCGTCACCTCTACACACGAAAAACCCCAATAATTTCAACTTTAATCTTTCAAGACACAATAATAAATTATGTGTTTGACTAAAAAATAGTTTGATAACTCAAAAATCTGGTCACCATACGAACTCATAAGTAAACGGTGAGGATAATCATTACTCTAGAAAATGTAAATGTTAGAAATATCATACGCGAAGGTAGTATAGGTGGAGTTGAAGGGTCGTCACTCGGAGCTAATGGTATGAAAAATGGAAATGGAAAAACCAAGATGGTGGTGGACCTAAATGAGGTCACTACTGAGAAAGTTGAAGAACCAATGAAAGAAACCGAGGAAGAGTGTTCAGAGCTTTTAGACCCTTCAACGAGTAAGGCTGAAGATGAGTAAGGGAACAATAGAGGAAAATGTGATTGCACAGAAAGTGTTTGAAAAAATGCCGGAACCAAGTGTATTAAAAGTAGAAACAAAATTTCGGGCTATGCTGTTTAAGGATAACCGTGCTCCATCTAAAGGAATGAAACTCAGATATATCGAACCTGAAGGAGACATTGTTGATTTTTCAGGGGGTTTATCTTGTGACCTAATTTCTACTTGGGGTTATTGCTTGGCAGGATTCTTTACTTGTACTTTTCCTGGGATGATAGCAGTACATAACCTGATGCAAAAATGGGGCGTAAGATGTAATCTTCTCCCACATGAAAAAGGATGGGTAGTTTTTCAATTCAAAGAGGATGATGATCGTGCAAAGGTCTTAATGGAGGGCCCTTATGAAGTGTTGGGTAGATCTTTACTACTAAAGAACTTGCCAGAGGGCTTTAGTTTTGAGGATGAAGATTTTTTAAAAGTGCCTATCTGGATCAAACTGCCTAGGCTGCCTATGGATCTTTGGAATGAGGAGCCTATCAGTAAGATTGCTTCTAGGATCGGGGTACCCATATACAGTGATGGTGTGACAAATGAGAAATCCAGGCCGGGATTTGCGAGAATGTTAGTTGAGGTGGATGTATCAAAACCACCACCCCTTTTCATTGATATAAAGATGCCTTCAAGAAAAATTAGAAGACAAATTATTATCTATGAAACCTTTCCGGATTATTGCTTCCACTGCAAGAAATATGGACACCATCCTTTCAACTGCAGAGCCTTGCACAAAGAGGAGAGGGATAGAGAGATTGGGGAGGATCATGTGATAACAAAGATCCATGGAGAAAATCATACTGTAGCAGACAAGGAGGAAGTACAAGTTGTGAGGGGAGACCTTGAGAGTGAGAAGTTACAAAAAGGAAAGGTTGACAAACCTACTACTTCTGCTATCTCAATATCTCCAACAATATCTGGTAGCAATAATGAGAGGAACATAAAACAGGTGGTATCTGGGAAGGAAACATTGATCAGTAAAAAGGAAAAAAATCATACAAAGGAGAAACCTATCGTGGAGGCTAGGAAACTGGGGGATCAACCTGTAAAATTTGGGGAGGATACAAAGGAAAAAGCAGCCCTGGAGAAAAAACAAAGGGGTGTTTAGGTAAAACAGAAAAATGATGGATGAAAGGGCGTGAAGTGGAATCAAGGAGGGAACACACATTAAGATTTTGAAACCACTTGCGTCTGGAAGTGGACCTCAAGTTCAAATGAAGCATAAAGTTGATGGGGCTAGGGATGGAAGAGTGATGCAGGGTGTGGGGGAAGGGAATTGTGTACCAATCAAAAGTGTTTTATGAAAGTGCTAACCTGGAATGTGAGAGGTCTAAGAAAGGCTTCGAAGCAAGATACTGTGGTTAATTATATTAAAAAGTTTAGTGTGGGGTTGTGTGGGCTTTTGGAGACAAAGTTTAAAGACGATGGAAAATTAGGGGAGTTTGTTCGAAAGAAACTGGTGGGGTGGGAGTGTTGTAGTAATTCCTGTCACATACCGGGGGTCGAATTTGTGTAATTTGGGACCCAAGTAGAGTGAGTTGTAATATTCTTGTTAGTGGACCCCAATTCATACACTGTAGGATCAAATGTCTGGTCACACATGTGTCTTTTTGGTTACTCAGGTCTATGCGCTTTATACAGTGGTTGAGAGGAGGTTGTTATGGGAGCATATTGTTTGAATGGGTCGGATTATTGACGCTCCCTGGACCATACTAGGAGATTTCAACTGTGTCAGGTATCCACATGAAAGATTGGGAAGTAATGAACCTCAAGGTTACCAGATGACTGATTTGGCAAATTGTATTAACTCCTTGAATTTGGAGGATGCTTCTGCTGTAGGTGATCTCTTCACTTGGCATAGGAATCTGAAATGGGCAAAGTTGGACAGGGTTTTGGTGAATCAAGAATGGAAAGATAAGGGGATGACGTGATATGTTAATTTCTTGGGGTTTGACACTGCTTCTGATCATTGCCCCATTATCACTACACTGGTAAACAATGAGGTGGGAAGTAATAAACCCTATAAATTCTACAATGTGTGATTGAAAGATCCTAGTTTCAAAGATATTCTGGTAGAGGTTTGGAGCAGAAAAGTCTATGGTTGTAGGCAGTATGTTTTGTGTTCCAAACTGAAATCTCTCAAGAAACCGCTCAAGGAGTTGAATAGAAGAAGTTTTGCACATATATCAAAGAGGGCTTTAAAAGCTAAGGAGGATTTTCAAGAGGCTCGACAATTACTAGTCGGGGATCCTTTAAATGAGGAGCTGCTAGCTAATGTTAATTTCGTAAGGAGGAAGGCTGTTTTTTTGTCGGAGGATGAAAAATCTATTTGGGAGTGGCAACCAAAGGATAGTGCCTCTTTCCTTCTGAAGAAACTGGGAGGCATTAGGGACAAACTGATTAACAAGTTGGGTGGAAAACAAGCTGCTGTGAGGAAAGTTCAGTCATGTTGTATCTCAGGTGATCTCATACCATCTAGAGTTTATGATATTCTTAGAGTACAGGGGGTCAGTAAGCCGTGGATGAATTTTATTTGGAAATCCTATATTCCTCCTAAGTTTTCTTTCACAGTCTGGATGTGCTTTAGGAATAAGCTCTCAACAGCTAGTTCTCTTTGGTTCCTTGACATTGATGTTACATGCTGTTTTTGTCTTGATGAACCAGAATCTGTTGAGCATTTTTTTTTCAGGTGCCTGGTTACAAATATGATCTGGAAGGGTGTATGTGAGTATGTGACTGGCTAGGAGTTAAAAGCAATCTCTCAACAATGAGTAGTGTTATTAAGTGTTGCAAAAAGGAATATAAAGGAGCAAGATTAAGGAGCAAGGCCATTAGAGTAGCCTTTTGCAGCTCTGTGTTCACCATTTGGAAGTGCAGAAACTCAAGAATTTTTTAAGGGTGCCCTGCTATAGTTCAGAACATTATTTTGCAGATTAAAGTATTGACATATAAGGTTTGGTATAGGCTTTATCCCAATGATATGATTGATTTTTGATACTCCATTCAAATTGTTATGGTGGAGGTGTTTTTTTGTAGCTCTGATTTTAGGCTGGTGAATGATTGGGATGATTGAACTGGGATCTGTCCTGTGTTCTTGTAGCTGGGCTTTTTTGTTTATCTAAAATAATACTACCGTTCCAAATTGATTTGCAAATTTGATTTTTCTTGGACAAACAATTTCATTTTATTTGCTTAATTATGATGTCAATTTTTAATTATATTCTAATTTGGAGTTTGCAACTTTGAAGCTATTTTAATGTAGTTTCTGAATATGTAAATTTTAATTATTAAAAGTTGAGTTAAATATTGATAGGAAGGATTGACTTTTATTATTGGTTCATCAAAAAATGTTGACTTTGCAAAATAATTTGGACGGAGGGAGTAAGTCTTAAATCAATTTGTAATTAACGGTATTTAACGTTGATCGATAATAAAGTTAAATGGTGCATGCAATTACTTTTGTTGTCAAAGTTTATGCAAATTGTTAAATCAATTTTAATAACTAAAATTATATATACAAAAATTATACTGAAACTTACGTAGTATATGAAGTTGTAAAATTTAAAGTACAATATCATCCTTCCCGACCTTCCATCCCATAAAACTTAGTTAATTTAATTTTTCTTGATCAAATATAATGAACTTATAGAGAATGATTTTAGTTATTACTCGCTTCGTTCCAATTTGGTGGTATTACTTTATTTTTGGATAGTTCCAAAATGAATGTCATGTTTTATTTTTTTGGATAATGTTCCATGCTTTTTCGCTTTATTGTACTTAAATCTCAACTACAACTGTAATTTTTCAATAACCTTATTATTAATTGTGTCAACTAAAAAAGAATATTTTTAGTCTTTTCTTTGTTAAATAAATTGGTGGGGTGTTCCGTGGCCTCCACCCCAAAAAAAGCTTTGGCTTTTTGGTTAAAAAGTGGGTTTAAAAAAATGTTATTGATTAAACTTAATTATTATGATCAAGAAAAACAATATTATCAAGTTCAATTGGACGGGGTGCGATGAGAAACCAATACACTAAATAATCAAATAAAATGAAGACTTTTCACAACATTTTAAGAAGGATCGAAAGAGTGTGCATACAATTGGGAGATTCTTCACTTACATGCTAGGCGTGTACCCACCAATTGTTACACGTTCACACAGCTAACAACCTTAAATATTTTGTGTTTTTTGACTGATTGGTTATGTATATAATTATGTGTTTTCCTGTATAATTAGACAATTAGTACTCGCGGAATACAAGTTCATTTAAATGAAATCAACTCCAAATATTCCAAATGTCAAATTTAATAGATCTGAAGGAACATTTTTAAAAACCTTCATGAACCAACATCTAACTTGTGATCTCCATCTAGTCCTAATGACGGAGTCAGGAATGGCGGTTACAAGGACCACCGGTCCAGGACTTAAGAAGTTTATATATCAAAGGTCAAAACTTAAATTTTCACTACATTTTTTACTATTTATAAATATTTATACGTATATACATCACAATTTTTTCTTGGATGGGGAAGTCCCAATCCAACCTCCTCCGGTCTCCACCTGACTAGTCTAGACTCTAGAGAACAACATCGTCTCATTATTTTGAACACATTTTAAATAGGTGACAACTCCGGTACCTTTCTTAAAAATGGGGTACCGTACCTATCATTAATTTGATTGGACCACACCATTTTATCATTTTTAATTTAGATTTAAATAATTCAACTGCTACATTCTCATTGGTCTATGTGGACAAAGGTATGATACCTTATGGGTACCACAGAGTCTACCTTTTAAATAACCCCTTTTTCAAGTACGGAGGTCAACTGTTGACCCCTAAAGCCAAGAGCTGTAATCCGCTCATGAAATCATTGGCATTAACTAACCAACAAAAACCAAAAGATATGGCCTTCTTTTAAATCATGGCCACACACGCCTGTATCGTACAACCTTGGTAAAGAAACGCGTGCGTAATTTGCCCACCATTTTTGCCAACCCAACCTCACCAACTCTGTTTCTTGGACTCTTCCTTCCTTCCTCTGTTTCTGCCCACTTACCCTCATCTCTATATATATAGCCTCTCTGCATTCACCTCGAACCATCTACCTCATTCCCATATCCGTCAACAAGCTAAAAAAACCATCTTTTTTTATGTTATATGATGAAGTCTTCTTCTGCAAGAGTTTCAACGTCCCTGTATCTCCAGCTCTCTGTTCTACTGACTTCCGTCGTCCTCTCTGCCTCCGCCGGTAACTTCTTCCAGGATGTGCAGGCCACATACGGCGGCGAGCGTGTGAAGATGCAGGAGGGCGGCAGTCTTCTTGACTTGACTTTGGATCAGGTCTCCGGGTCAGGATTCCAGTCCAAGAACGAGTTTTTGTTTGGGAGATTCAACGTCCGTCTCAAGCTTGTCCCCGGAAACTCTGCCGGAACTGTCACCACCTTTTATGTACGTCTTGTATTTCCTATCTTCCTTGCATTTCTTTGTCTTGCTGATTACTAACTTAGTTTTAGTTTATTATGATGTCTGATGAATGGGAATCTTGATAAAACATGCAGTTATCGTCTCTAGGAAACATGCATGATGAGATTGATTTCGAGTTCTTGGGGAATTCTTCCGGTCAGCCATACACAATCCACACCAATGTTTACTCCCAAGGAAAGGGCAACAAAGAGCAACAATTCCAGCCCTGGTTCGACCCTGCCGCTAACTTCCACACCTACTCTGTAGTTTGGAATCCCCAACGCATCATGTAAGTATAAGCATAAATAATCCTTCCTTCATCCCTAAACAAACATCTCACTTTTGATAAATAAATCAATGTAAAAATAGTTTCAAACAGTATTCAAACGGTGTGATTTTCTTAAATTGTGTGCAAGTCGAGGGGACATTTTAAACAGGGACAGATAGAGGGAGTACTAAAGTGGTAAAAATCTCACTCATGGATTTTCTGAGTGACTAATGAATGGTTGGTTTCTACTTGATATCATAATTACAGATTCTCCATCGATAACATTCCAATAAGAGTGTTCACCAACAACGAAGCGATGGGTGTGCCGTTCCCGAAGAATCAGCCGATGAAGGTTTACGCTAGCTTGTGGAATGCAGACGACTGGGCAACGCAGGGCGGGCGGGTCAAGACAGATTGGTCCAAGGCTCCATTTTCGGCTTCATACCGGGACTTCAACGCTAATGCTTGTGTCTGGTCAGGTCAGTCGTCGAGCTGCGGTTCGACGCAGTCAACATCAACCGGTGGGCAGGAATGGCAGACTCAAGATCTTGATGCCAATGGTAGAAACAGGCTCCGATGGGTGCAACAGAAGTTCATGATTTACAATTACTGTACTGATTTGAAGAGGTTTCCACAGGGTCTTCCTCCTGAATGCAAGCGCCAGAGGTCTTGATGTGCATTTCTAGTTGAGTTCGGGTTATGATCAGCTAGTTCTATATGTTCTTTCTACGTGTTTATTGAATCATTCCCTGTGAAAAGTTTTTAATTTGTAGAATAATGGAATTCCTTATTCTTTTTGTAAGTATTTGTGGATTAATAAAAGTGCAGTTACATTATCTGATTGCCTTGTTTGAGTTGTTTCCTATTGGATTAAACCTTTATTGAATATCTAGGCTTCTGATATACTTCGTACTCTGTATGTTATTGACTATCTACGATGTCGGATGTCCTGCATTAAATCTGAAGTTTGACTTAAATGAGATAATTGTTGAAATCATATTAGTAAAAACCGGTGATGAAGATTCCCCTTTGGAATTAAAGGGCAAAATATTTTTACACGGAATTTTTTACACTAAAAATACAGACATTTTTTAAATTTAGGCTGGGCCGGGGCCAGGGTTGGCCCTCCCCTAGCTACGCCCCTGAGTTCGGGCATAATAAGGTTTTAGGTTTGTAATTGTTATAATAAAGAGAGTGAGGTTTCTTCCCAAGTCATTATTTGAAGTTGAATTCGAGACATCTCTCTTGTGACACCCTCTTCAGTGAGCTATGCCCCTCGATTTATTGAGGGATTCTAAAGACTACACTAGAAGTGTAGAATCCTGAGATAATGACGAAGTCAGAGAGGTATGTTAGGAACCGGGTTTAAAATATGGGTGTCTCTACAATAAACTACTCCCCCCGTCCCGAAAAGGTTGACCAAATTTCCTTTTTTGGATGTCCCAAAAAGATTTGCCATTTCCATTTATAGTAAAGAATATGTGGCTAAAATTAATTCTCTCCCCTCTGCACAAATTTCAACCACACAATTTTTACTTTATTAATCCACGTGAAAGTCAACTTTGGCCAACCTTTTTGGGACGAAGAGAGTAAGTATAACACAAAGTGAGTGTTTAGATACGTCGAAAAAAAGAAAACTCATGGAAAGAGATGAAAGAGAAAAAGAAGAAGAATATTGTTGCACCTGGACCTAGAACTAGAATTTAACTCATTGCTGTTGTTTGATATTGTAGTAATTTTCATTTGTATGTTTGCATTTTTAATTAGTTTTGTTGTTAGTTATTTTGAAAATTACACACTTTTGATATAATAATTTAGTTTGTTAAATATTTGTAATTTATTTAGATCAGGACTTTATTGAACTCAAAACAGATCGAAATCATGCAAAGGATGGATCCTAAAGATCAAAGAATGTGCAAAAGGGGATCAAATGAAGATTTGGAATCTTGTTCGTACACCCGGTCGGGTATATGCAATACCCGGTCGGGTATTGACCAGATTCTCTTGTCAAAATCAAATCCGGGAACAATTGAGTGTGCCTGAATAAATTTGAAGATCCGGTCTCATACCCGATCGGGTAGACTAACATAACCGGTCAGGTATGTATGATCTTTGTAACTTTCGGGAAGCTGCTGAAGGTACCCGATAGGGTACCCCTATATACCCGGTCGGGTACACAACCCTTCCACCTCCAAACACCTATAAATACACCCATTTTCCTTCACATTAAACTCACCAATTCACATGTACTTCTAAGCTCAGTTTAGACAAGTAATTCCTTTATATTTTCTAGTATGTTTAGTCTCCAAATGAGATGCTAAACCCTTCCATTTTGATTTTGCTACGTTGAAGCTTATGATTTGTAAGTTGTGAGTTATTTTCTTTAATCATCTTCCTTGACTATTAATTACATTCCTATTTTATATCCATATTAATATTTGAGCATTGCTTAAAGGATAACCTAGTTTTGTTTCATATATTAATTATTACTAGAATCGATCGATGAATACACTTGTTAATCGTTCTATCATTTCACAGTAGTAAACTTGGATTATTAATGCATGCGTCTCATGATTAATAATTTAAGAGAAATTAATTATATTGATTAAACCAATAAACTGCTTGTGTTGAGGTTATCAATCTCAATCGATTTCATTTTAAGTTTGATTGCTACTATCGGATCAATATACGGTGCATGTTCTATATTGACCTGATAGTAAATTTTATTAATGTACGCGTCTCGTTATGAATAACTACCCTCGATGAATTGAAGATACTCCACGATTGAGTATTCAAGAGGAAGATAGTTAAAGATATAACCGGGATCGACGAACATTTCATTAAGTGGATATAAGCAAAACCAAGTCTCTATTTCCATTTTATTAAACCACGTAAGTCGTACATTCATCTTAGTGTTAAAATTAATTAAATCAAATCAATCTTAAAACGCTCGTTGTTACTCTACAAAATTTTACTCTCTTACACATGATAGGAAAGAATTATTCACTTCTCTACGAGGCTCTGGAATACCCAACACTTCATTTTTCTTTAGAAAATTCGTCACATCTCCATCTAATCTTAGAGTTGTTCAGAAGTCTGAACCTTCTCAATTAAGGAGGGGTTCCAAAAATAATCATTATCCCTACCATTAAGATACCATTCTCCATTTCCTGGCCAAATTAAGGTGATTCTACTAATAAATTCCTCGTAAAGGTGATCCTAAATCATTGAAATGATGCAAACCTTTACTTTTCAAGACTGTCTTATACTATCCTCCGTATCTCATTAATTGCAACATTGGAATATATACACTATTCATGTACTTTACTTTGACTACATTTTATTTATTAATGTAACTGAATTATTTTTTTTTGAAAAATGTTGTTAAATTCGTCTCATTACTAAATTTTATAATCTGATTTTTATTTTATTTTTACTAATACAGAATTAAATATAATGACTGTCAAAGTTGTGCGTTGACAAACGTGAAATGTTGACTGTTGCAACTAAAAAGAGATGAAGGAAGTAGTAAAGTACATGAAATTCAATGCTCTTGGCACTTTTTATGCGGAAGGATTAAGCAGGGGAGGGTTGGAAAGTGAAGGAGTGGTATGTAAAGAGGAAGGTGATGAAAGTGGATTAGATACACAATCCTCCAAACTTCTACATTCCGTACAAGATTTCCGTACAAAAAAAAGAAATGTAGGTGTATCAAATACTCCGTACAAAATTTACATGTTTGCTTCCAAAAATAAATTTACATGTTTGCAAAACACCGATTTCCCCGTACTCCATTGAACTAGACGTAATATCAATTCTTTAACTTCTTTCATCACCTCCAATTTCCTCATTAATTCTATCATTTCCCCTCTCCCTACCAATCAAACAATGTGATATGTAAATTTTTCGTAGTTGCTATTAAATCAATATAATAATAGAATTATAAATATGGATGTTCTGTACTTTACATAAAACTCTTCTGGAATAAATATATCTGTCAAGACTCCTTAAGGAGTAACCCTTTCCATTATTCTCATATGATATCAATAGCACATTAATTTTTTTCTGATCCTCTCTCTAAAATTTTCCCGACACCGCGTGCAAAACCCTAGAGCCGCCGCCATTAATTTTTCCGACGTCGACACGCCACCGTTGCAACTTGCAACATGGCCGCTCCATCGCCGCACGCTTCTGCATCCCTCAGCCAGTCGAGCTCCGTTCCGTCTGTCGCAGCCAACACCACCGCAACGACCGACGCTCCAGTTTCCTTTAGATCGCTGCCGACACTCAGTTCCGTCTCGTCCGGTGTGACCTTCTCCTCCAATTTTGCATCTCCAAGTCGGACCTCTATGCCATATTCCCTTTTTAAGAATTTCCCATCGGTGTTTCCATGGTCGGCCCCGACTCCTGTGCAGGCAGTTCCTCTCGAGCCACCCCCCTTCTCGGCCATCGCTTTTGCCGGCACCACGTTCATTGGCTCACTCGGCGTTTCTTCCACGTTGCCTCCTCTTCGTGGCCCTGCTGGCAGCCCAACAACCTCTTCATTGACCGAGCTCGCTCTCACTATATCTCACATGGAAACCAACGTCATGAATATCGTGATTACCAAACTTCTAGCGGTGGAAGATTACACTACTTGGAGGACTCAGTTTGAATCGTTTCTGGTCTCACAAGGTCTCCATGGCATGGTTGATGGCTCCATTCAGGTACCATCTGCTTATTCCATAGATGCTCTTAACCGTCAAACTCCCAATCCCGAATTTTCCACTTGGTTAAGAATTGATCAAACAATTCGTTTATGGCTATTTGCAACCCTATCTCGGGATGTTCTTATCGATGTTCGTGATTTAAAACATTCATGTAAAATTTGGGAGCGGTTGGAGTCTCGATTTATGTCTGCGAGTTTAGTCAGGTCTATGGAATTAAAGTGTTTATTCAATCAAATAAAAAAGAAACATGATCAGTCCATGGATAATTATTTGAGAGAAATTAAAATATTAGTTGATGATCTTGCCACAATCAATTGCCCTATGCCTCCTCGTGAAGTATTAAAGACTACTATTATGGAACTGGGACCTGAGTATGAATCTTTATTCACCACTGTGTCATTATTTCCTCAAAATTTCCTATTTGAAACTCTCCGTAATCATCTTCTTGAGTTAGAGAAGCGGGTTATTTATCTACGCTCCTAGGAGTCCTCGTCCCTTCACCAGGCTTTCGGCGCAGCTGTTACGTCCCCCGGACATCCCACTGGCCAGCAGGTGGGCCAGCAGCAATCAAGCACACAATACCCGGTCGGGCAGTTGCAGCACCCGGTCGGGCAGCAGCGCCAGTCAGGCCCTCAGCAGCGGGGCTGAGGCCGCGGTGGCAGGGGCCATGGTCGAGGACATCCAGTACATTATGGCCAACAGCACGCATACTGGTATCCTCAGGGGCAGTTCGTCTATAACCCCGGAACGGGTGGTCAGCCGGGTCCAGCTGGATATGCTCCACATGCAGGGGGTGTGACATCTACGGGTATTGTTATTTGTAATTTTGCTATGTTACATTTAAATATAAATGCATCACCTGTTTGTGTTACTAACCTTAGTTCCGCATGCTTGCCATCAGACGAGGGTATTCTTGGGACTGTTCCCCATCTTGTTGTCTGTAAAATTTGCTTTTCTACAGGTCATTCCACAGTCACTTGTCCTTCTCGTTTCACATAACCGTTCGCTCCTGCTCTGTTGACTACTCCTGGTGAAGCTAATCCTGCTCTATGATATCCTGATTCAGGAGCTTCTACTCATATGACTGCATCTGAAGGTATTTTAGTTAATAAATTTCCCTACACCGACTATAATTCTGTTAGTGTTGCAAATGGTGCCCATCTCCCCATTCATCATGTTGGTGATGTTGCATTACCTAATTTTGGTCGTCCTCTCACTTTAAAATCTGTTTATCATGTGTCTCAGTTAAAATATAATTTAATTTCAATTCAAAGGCTCTGCACTGATAATAACTGTACTGTCATTTTTTATAAAAAAAAATCTTTTTTGATTAATGATAAAGCATCGGGGGCAGTACTTCTGCGAGCTACCAGTAGTGGGCCACTTTATCTTATCAATCTGTCGTCGTCATCACCTTTAGTTTTTGCTTCAGTCTTAGCTTCTGGTCCTGTGTGGCATCGTAGATTAGGTCACTGCGGTGATAGTATTTTACAGTTTCTTAAGAGAGAACATTTTTTATGTCTCCTTTTACTCATGAGTGTGTGGCTTGTCATTTAGGAAAATCACAATGTTTGTCTTTTATGGATGCTAGTCATAATTCTATTTTTCCTCTTGAAATTATCCATTCCGATGTGTGGCAATCTCCTGTTTATTCAAATTTGGGATTCAAGTATTACGTGTGTTTATTGATGATTTTTCTCGTTATACTTGGATTTATCTCATGTGTCACAAAAGTGAGGTTTTTATTCACTTTAAAAATTTTAAAGCTTTGGTTGAAAATCTTTTTGATCAGAAAATTAAAATTTTTCAAAGTGACGAAGAAGGTGAATGGTATTTTGTTAATCATTATACGCAGCAATTCTTTTCGGTTAATGGTATTTATTTTCGTAAATCTTGCCCTGAAACACCCCAACAAAATGGGGTTGCTGAGCGCAAGCATCGTCATCTACTTGAGTTAACTCGAACCATGCTTCTTGAAGCTTCTATTCCGAGTCACTATTGGGTTGATGCCATTTTTACTGCTGGCTATATCATTAACAAATTACCCTCTCCTACCTTAAATGGCCTTTCTTGGTACCAAAAACTTTTTAACCGTGTTCTGGACTACTCGTTTATGCGAGTGTTTGGATCCGCCTGCTATCCTAATTTTTCGGCCACATCAGGTAATAAATTATCACATCATTCTGTTCAGTGTGTTTTTCTTGACTATGCATCTGGTTATAAGGGCTATCGTTGTTTTGATCCTATCACAGGTCGCGTTTATGTTAGTCGTCACGTTAGGTTTCATGAGGACACATATCCCTTTAAAACACTTTCATCACCCGATCCATCGCATTCTAGCCCCATTACACCGTCTCCAATGAACCCCACCGATATTACCCTTGACCCACCTGCCCAGTCAACAACCGACCGCACGCCCCAACTCCCTCCACCGTCCTCATCACCCTCTCGGTCACCTCTCAGTCACAACACTCCTCGTATAGCATCGCCCTACACATCCTGCCCCTTGTCCCCTCCTACAACCACCAGCCTGCCACCTTTCGTTCCCTCATCCCTAGATAGCACTCCGACAAGCCTGCTGGATATACCTCTGGTCACCTCCTCGGTCGACAGTGTCTCAACCGTACCCACTTCACCTATGCCCACTACGGTCGTCAATCAGCACCCCATGCAAACCCGCGCCAAGGCGGGAATTTTTAAGCCTAAAACAATTTTTAATTTAAATATGATCATTATTCCTGCAGATCCTACCTGTTTTACTGAGGCTAATAAACATTTAAAATGGCATGAGGCGATGGCTGATGAATTTAATGCACTCATTAATAATAACACTTGGGAGTTGGTTCCCTTTGACAACTCTAAGAATCTTGTTGGGTGTAAGTTGATTTATAAAACTAAATATCATTATGATGGATCCTTAGAGCGCCATAAAGCTCGATTAGTTGCACAGGGTTTTTAATCAGCAGACAGGTATCGATTTCTCGGAAACTTTTAGTCATGTCGTAAAACCCACCACAGTTCGTATTGTTCTTACTCTTGCAATTTCTATTGGTTGGGTTATATGACAACTTGATGTTAAGAATGCCTTCTTGCATGGTCATCTAACAGAAGAGGTTTATATGCGTCAACCCCGTGGTTTTATTCATCCTCAATTTCCTAATCATATATGTCGTTTGTGCAAGGACATTTATGGTCTTAAGCAAGCTCAATGGGCCCGATTTCATAGATTTAGTAGCTTTCTTCTGCAGCATCATTTTTTCTTGTAGTAAATCTGACAATTCCTTGTTCATTTACAACGAGAATAATACTACTCCGTTTTATTTATTTATTATTATTATATGTTGATGATATTATTATTACTGGCAATTCTGAGTCTACCATTACCCAATTTATTTCGATTATTTCTAAACATTTTGCCATGAAAGACTTGGGTAATCTCCATTATTTTTTGGGTGTTGAGGCTATTCATTCCACCAAAGGTCTGGATCTCTCCCAACACAAATATGTTTCGGACCTTCTAGCCCAATTTCATCTCCATACAGTTAAGCTTGTTCGCACCCCGTTAGCTTCCCGTACTACTTTATCCCTTTCTGATGGTGAGTTACTCTCGGATTCTACTGAATATCGCAGCATGGTAGGTGTCTTACAATATTTAACTTTGACACGGCCAGACATTACTTATGCAGTACACTTAGTGCCTTAGTTCATGCATGCCCTCGTACCACTCATCTTTTTGCAGTCAAAATAATTTTCAGGTACTTGTAGAGAACACGAGATCATGGCCTATGGCTTCAGCAGTTCAATCGGCCAACATGTGTAGTTGCTTACTTCGATGCAGATTGGGCTGGTTGTTCTGATAGTTCTCGGGCCACCACAGGCTTTGCGGTATTTTTGGGTCCTAATTTAGTTTCTTGGAAGACTAAAAAGCAACCTACAGTGTCGAAGTTCTCCACAGAAGTTGAATATCGTTCGATTGCTTATACTGTTCAGGACACTCTTCATATCCGGTCTGTTCTGTACGAGCTTGACTATCCAATCACGGAACTGATACATTTATTGTGTGATATTATTTTTGCTTCCTATTTGACTGCAAATCCTGTTGAACATGTCCGAAGTAAACATATTCAGATTGATTATCACTTTGTTCGCAAACGTGTTGCTCATGGAGATCTGATTGTTAAGTATGTTCCTACTCATCTACAGATGATAGATATTTTTACTAAATGTCTCCATAGTCAACGTTTTCATTTTTTAAAAGACAAAATGCACATTGATATCTTGAGGAGGTGTAATAGAATTATAAATAGGGATGTTCTGTACTTTACATAAAATTCTACGAGTATAAATATATTTGTCAGGGCTCCTTCGTGAGTAACCCTTTCCATTATTCTCACGTATAAAATGATATCATTGCTAAAATATGAACAAATCACGAGTAGATTAAAAAATATTTATCATACTCTAGCATATGGAATGAAAACCTGATTGCAAGGGCCCGAAAAACAGCGCAGCCGGTGTATCAAAACTCTGTATCCAGGACTTAGGGTTAGCTGGTCCATGAAGTAGGAATCTGTATTCCCCTATCCTTCCCGAGGTAGATGACAACTCTTCTGGCTAGAGCAATAATTGTTGATCGAGCCACCAAAACTCACTCCAAATTGCTTGTCATTCATATCCTCTGCCACCGGTTTCCATAGATGTAAGCATATGCAGACTCTACCCTAAAATCATCGAACCTCTTCATTTGCCATAGCCCACGTCGCTCTATTTTCCATCTCAAGCTTCAATTCCACTTTATCCAAGTCCTTGTTCAGTACGGCAGAAGGCTCCAAATCCATAAAGTATTCTCCCATGTATCTCTCTTTTCCATCCTTCACTACCATTTTATCATTCTCACTCGCCTATAATTTCTCCACTCCTAAAATCAGGAGATTATTGTCCTCCATATTGCAAGACTTTCCAGTAGCAAATTTTAGGTCAGTGAGAAATCAGGAAAATAATCTACTTTATTTTGTATATATATCTACTTCTATTTTCGAATTTTACTCCAAGATATTATAACTACATATAATAAAGTAAAATTTGACTACTTCTAAAATATAACTTTGTAGGATTCTACAATTAGAAAAATAAGAGTATACTGAGCTAATATCATAAAATATAAATTCATACAATAAATATTCAATGAAGAGTATATTATGAAAAATATTATAACAACACTCCTTAAAATTTGCTACTTATAAATGTGGGTGTGATTTTAAAAAAAAAATAGAAACGTGGGTGTGTATTTAGAAAAAAGCCAAAAAGGAAGTGTGAATTGAATTCCCCAAAAGTTTAAAGTCTAGATGGAGAAAAACCATCTTGTTAAATCGGTAGTGCGATTAGGCCCAGTGTTTTAACAAGGCAAGCCCAATAAGACCAATGGATCTATTCTTCCATCTTCTTTTAGCGCTGGCTGCCCTCATCCCTTCTCTTTCTTTTGTCTTTGCATTCAGGACAGACGAGTCCACGGTGTCTCATCCTGCAACGATTTTCCCTTATCTGAAGCTCCTCATACTTTGAGTCTAAAGCTCCCCTCTGTACCTTCCAGTTCTCCTGAACTTTCTGTCCTTTTTGTTTTTGGGGGCTTAAAGAGATGGGGAAGTTTAGAAAGCCATCCCAACAAACGAAGACAGAGAGTGAAAGTGGTTCTGAAATCGACAGTGATGAAGTTCTAGATAATATATTATCTAATGTTCGTTCTTTTTTGTTGTCTCTCCATACCTCTCTCTTTCCCACTTGTTAAATTTTTTTATTTACTGGTTCTCGCTTACCGTTATTAGGACGAAGAGGAAGAGGGAAATGTCGTAAGTGACGAGGAGGAAGAGAGAAACACTGAAAGTGATGACTTTAGGGAGGAAGATGATGAGGAAGGGGGTTCCTACGAAAAGGATGAATCTGGTGAGGAAGACGATTATGAGGAAGCGGAACAAAATGAGGTGAAAAAGAATGCTGAAATGGAGGAGCTTGAGAATGAATACAGGAAACTACAGCAAACTGAGCAGTAAGATCAATTTTCTTTAATGTACCTCTTTTGGGAGAATTATTGAGTTGAATTTTCTTTTTTTATGATTCTTTGGCATATGAAGTTTAAGGAAAGGTAACAGATCAGCTATATGCACCACAACTGTAATTTCCTTGTCTGCAATAGGGCATACTGCAAGAGTGCCAGTCCCATACTCCCATAGTCATTAAATAACTCTATACATTTTGAAGGCTTATTTCACAGAATATCTTTTAAGTTCTATTTTTCAAATGATACTGCATTGCAAATGATTTTTTGATATATAACTTGATTCTGACATTTATTTTCAGAGATCTATTGAGCAATCTAAAAAGCCATAAGGATGAAGATATTTTAAAAGGTGAAGCAGTAAAAAATCAGAAGGTATGGTGCTGCCTGAAAGCCTTCTAATTCTGTTTGTGGGTAGCGATTATTTTAGAGATTTGAGAAAAAGTGCATAGTGGTAAAAGTTGGCAGTGTTTGAAAATATAAGGATGAAATGATATAGAAATTGTGAAAAACAGTTTTTTTCACTTGCAACTTTTGGCTTTAAGTGCTTAAATTTAAGCAGAAACATTTGTTTGGAAGCACTACTTTTATCTTTTTGAAGCTATGCTGAAAAACGCTTTTGAAGGCAACGACAAAGGTTTACCTAAGTTGCATCTATGGTTTAAGGTTCATGAAAAATTCATAATAATGATTCTTTCTAGAAGCTATATTACTTTAAGGAAATTTGTATTATCTTCATTCGGGCAGTCATTTTATTATTCTTCTAGGAGATTTGTTTTATTTTGTTAGTAACTTTTGTATTTATTTCGTCATTTTAATTCTGCCTTTTTCTAGTTTCATGCTCAATAATCATTATATCCGTTTCCTGATATGTATATTTATTCCTTTGCAAAGACTCTTTGGGATAAGACTCTTGAGATAAGATTCTTGCTGCAAAAAGCATTCTCAAGCTCCAATAGACTTCCGCAGGTCCATATTCTCTTGAATTATTTTTGCTAGTTACATCCAATTATGCTTCACATTATGGTTAAATTTAAGTTTGCTCTCTTCAGGAGCCAATTAAGTCTTCATTCTGTGATTTTGGTGATGAAATTACTGAAGCATATTCAGATCTAATTGGTTCTTCAATGAAGACATTGGAGTCTATCTCAGAATTACAAACGGTAGGCTGACAAAGCCATACAACCTATTAATTCAAATATGATTTTCATAGTCTAGTGTACAACATGTTTTTTTTGTTTCACGTTGTCTCCAGTCTTAGAGTTGGATACAGTGTTGAATGTTTTTTTATAATTTGCTATAAAATCTATTTTGCTTTTGCAGGCACTTCTTGAGAATAATCCATCAATTACTCAATCCATAGATGGTATGGCATATTTTTTACGCATTTTTAACTTACTATTTGAATAGCTGGTAGTCTAATTATGTATCTTCACAAGTAAAAGTTCTGAGCTTACCTATATCAGGATCCTGTATTTAATGAATTCTTCTTTGATTCAAAGCAAGCGGAATCAGGAAAAAACGAGCATATTCTTTTGTGCTAGTTTTGGACTACATGACTACATCATACGTAGCATGTTCTATTGTTATGTTGTACTGCTAACTTAATATGATCAAATACTCATGTTTGTTTACCATGAAATTAATGTATGCCGCATATCCCCGTGTAGTATTGATAGGAATTCAATACATCAGCCAACTCAGTTTTACAGTAACGTGTACAAAAGGAGGAATAGAAAGGTAGTTAATAATAAATAACTAGAAGGTTAGTTAGTTAGGTCCCTGCGTGGACTAAACTGCTATAAATAGAAGTCTGGAGTCTAAGATTGGTAGGCTGTCATTTGGTTGGACTTAAACTTTGGAGACTGGGCATCTCGAATCGTCCAAGGCTTGTATGCATTCTGTGTTTCTCCCTTACATCAATAAACTCTTTTCTGATTTTGTTCATCAATTTCTACTATCGATTATGCTGTGTTGATAGTCGGAATTACCAGTGTCTATCATTGGTATTAGAGCATTACGCTCCTGATGACTGTAGCATTGATCGGAGAAGTTACATTGATTCCAGAAATTTCTCTTTTCGAATCGTGAATGGTTAGAACGAGAGGAAGAATGGAAAAGCGAATGGAATCGCTGGAGCGAAATCAACAGGAGATGAAGTCAACGCTGGATAATATCGCCAGACAGCTAGCAGCGATGAACGAACAACTCCAGACTAGAAGGCAATCGCGGACGTCAACAACTTCTTGCAGTTTGTAATTTTCTGTCGATAGCAGTTTCCAAAAGTTCATCATCGCGATCCATTTCTCACAGTCGTCCGCAGAGGTCTTTGCAATCCTCATCGTCTCACAGTTCGCAGATGCGAACAAATTCTTCCAGATTGTCGCTAACTGAGCAGTTTTTTTCTCAATCGCCAGAAACTTCTTCCAGTTCTCTGGTTTCGTCGCTGGACTATTCTTTCAGATCGCAGAAATCCTTGCCAACAACACCTCTCAGTTCGCAGGCTTCAGTATTGGCTTCCCGTTCTAAGGCTTCGTCGCGAACTGTTTATCCTCAACCATCTTCATCGCAAGTCTTTACTCCCAGTTCGCAAACTGTATCGCAAGAAAAAAAATACCAGTTCGCAGTCGCGAACCCTATCTGCCAGTTCGTACTCGCGAACTCATTATCTCAGTTCTCAGCGGTCAACAACGGCCTTTCTCAGTTCGCAAGTGTCATCTCCAGCCGTTTTTCCAAGATCGCAGACTTCTTCACTCGCGGACTATCACAACTCATCTTGGCTGGACGTCTCTCATCAGGCGCAACATTCTTTGCTTGAAAATCCACCAACTACACAGAACATTAAGTTGAAGCCAACACTGTCTACATCTTCAGTTCAAGAATTGGAGACATGATATTCCGGAAGGGGCAGAAAACATTGATTCATCAAATAATCTAGATTTGGGTAGAGTTCATGAACTGGATTTGGGTGTACCAATAGATATGGTGTACAATCCTTCATCAAAGGGAATGTTGGAAGGGCAGAAGCAGACTGAGGGTTTCAAAATTGATGGTATGAATTCTATGAAATCTATCCAAAAGGGATTGGGAGTAGGATTGACTGGGAATGATAAGGAAAATGTTACGGAAAAGCCAGAAGTTTGTATATGTATTTCTGATGGAGGTGTAGTCTGTGCCTATCAGTTTCAGATGATATTTGGTGACAAAAGGATCAAGGCTACAGATGACAAGAAAGATGATACATTGGGTGTAGTCTATATTGGACCTCTTGTGGTTGGTCCTAAGTGGGTGATTTATAATGGAAATCCAGTTTCTATGACTGCCCTACTAAGAGGCTCTTCCAAATGCTTGATTAAAGATGATGGTAAATGTAAGTCAGACTGTCCAAAAGGCAATGAGTATATTGCAGAGTTTCCATATATCAGATTGTTATCCATATTCAAAACATCATTAATTGAGGTTCCTGCTGATATTATTAGTCCCAGGGAAGAGTTTGAGTCATATAATGAGGCAAGAATTGTTAGCAATTGGAAGATTGAGCAGTGGATGATTGGGCAGATTGGTAAAACTCAATTCCAGCATGAACAAAGCTACCCGAGTGGTAATGATACTCTGAAAATAGGGGATCTATGGAGGCTTTTGCTAGAAGAAGGAAGGAGAAAGATTCAAGCATGGAAGATCTTTATCCAGCAACCAGTCAAGTACTGGGAGGGGAGAGGTGCAAGAATAAAGTGGAAGTGGAAGATCACGGCTGATTCCTATCACCCACCTTGAGGACAAGGTGGTTGTTTAGGGGGGGGGGGGGGGGGGGGAGTAATGATAGGAATTCAATACATCAGCCAACTCAGTTTTACAATAACGTGTACAAAAGGAGGAATAGAAAGGTAGTTAATAATAAATAACTAGAAGGTTAGTTAGTTAGTTCCCTGCGTTGACTAAACTGCTATAAATAGAAGTCTGGAGTCTAAGATTGGTAGGCTGTCATTTGGTTGGACTTAGACTTTGGAGACTGGGCATCTCGAATCGTCCAAGGCTTGTATGCGTTCTGTGTTTCTCCCTTACATCAATAAACTCTTTTCTGATTTTGTTCATCAATTTCTACTATCGATTATGCTGTGTTGATAGTCGGAATTACCAGTGTCTATCAAGTATGGATTTATTGCGGTATAATGCAATGGTTGGTTTCCTTAATATTTGCCCTAAAAGTTAATTATGAAATAGGAACTGAAGTTGTGGAAGAGTCTCATCAGGCAATTGGTGAAATTGATGAAGAATGGTCACAAATTGCTCAAATGCATTCAAGGTATTCTTGATGGATACCTTATATATAAACTTTTAATCCATTATTATTGGTTTGCGACATACTTTATACCAATTCAATGTTCAAAGATCAAGTAATCAAGCTTTACATGGAGCTCCTTCCAATCTGTTGATATATTCTTGAAAGAAATTTGCGGGGAGCGTCTACATGTAATACTTTAGAATAGCTTTAACTAAAAGTATAACATAATCAGCATGTAATTATATTTTTGATACTGTTTTGGCCTTTATGGAATGTGAGCTATACATACCAAAATTTATTTGCTTGTCTTTTTTTCTTTTCTAATTTTATAAGAAGAAACTTCAGCAATTTGTTGCTGTTTTACATTCTAAATGAGTGAATACTGTACTTGCAATACTGTATGTATTTATTTTTATTTGATGTTGTCTCACAGATTATTACTATGATTAAGTTCAGATTTATTCTAGCTTCTTTTGAAATGCGCAAAATATACTTATTTGTAGGGAGTCAGGGATATAGTTGGAAATTTAAGGACTAATTTGAAATGATAATTTAGAATTTGGAGATTCAAACCCTATCTTTGAGTTGATGAATTTGATAGATAACTTACAAACTGTTAGGTTAAATTTAATTGGAGAAGTGGCTATAAGATTTTAATGAAGAATTTAAGAAAGTGTGTAAAGATAAGTAGATAAGCGATAAGGGTATAAGAAATATTTAAGTATAAACTTTTACTCACACTTTTCCAATATATGTGGTCATCTTTTAAATAATCTCTCTTACTCTTCTGTACAAATCCCTCAATCTGAACATAGGGTAAACCTCATATTATGGACGGTTAAAACTTGAGGATCAAAAGTAAAAAATACAATAGTTAGGGACCAAATATGGATTTCTTTTTTATTATATTATTTATTTATTTATTTATTTGCATAAGCTAATGCTTCTTATGGCTTTCTTGTTATTGGGGACAGAATGGCTTCTTTTAGAGACAAGTCAATAGACAAATGGCAAAGGAGGACCCAAGTAACAACCGGTGCTGCTGCAGTTAAAGGCAAATTACATGCATTTAATCAGGTTTGGTTGGCCATTGAAGGATTTTGATTTCCTGTCTGTATGAAAAAAACGTACCAGCTTTTCATGTTTACTATTTAATTGCAGAGTATTAGTCAGCAAGTGAGTAATTACATGAGGGATCCAAGTAAAACAATAAAGGGTATGCAGCTGAATAGGTCTGCTGTAGCTCTATTTGGAACTGTAAGTCTCTCTTCTTTGCTTTTGTTTTCTCTCTTTTTGTACTTCCATTTTGTTGATCTAGTATTGACTTATACTAAAAAATCATGGTCAGGTTCCTAATACTGATCATACAGCCACACAAGAGGTATATTCCCTAATTTGGTCAACTATTTAATTAAATATCTCGTTAATACCTTCCAGCATAGATTGTTTTTCTTTTACAAGTGTCATATTTTATGCAATAAACATTCACTTACGATCCATGAGGATTGAGGAACCCTGAAATTGCTAGGGAATTAAAACAGGGCAGCAAATCTAAAGGAAAATAAAATTGAGGGAAATAAAACAAAACGGGTTCATACTCAACGAATCAGTTTAAGATGTTTGTTGACTTGTTCATACTCATTTTGTTGGTATATTTCTATCTTATAGTCATTTTGTAAAAATTCTTTCGTAGCATCTATTAACCCCCCACGTAGGTGCGTGGTTGGAGTAATAATGTCCCCATGCAATATAACAATATTCAAAAGCATTATATTTTTTTCAAAGGTGAAGGCAAAACATAAAAGTATTAGTTTCCAATCATAGCCTAAAGGATTATTATTTTCCCATTCACCATGAGGCGGGGGAGATTATTTTTTTTTAATATGCTCAGGGTATAACTGTTGATGGCAATCCAGAACTTCTGGATGACTCTGACTTCTATCAGCAGTTACTCAAGGAATTTTTTGACTCTGTTGATCCAACATCATCCGGTAAGATTCTTCAATTTTACGGAGTATTCCATCATCTCTTTCCTGTTTGTCTCTCTCACACACACAAACGTGTTTGTTAGTAGTTGGAAGCAAATCTGTGTCATAAAAACCAATGCGAGCTCTTGACCGGAAGGTTATCTGATGTCTCTGTATTTGATGATTAAATGACAATATAAGCTTTATGCCACTAACCCCAACTAGTTCGGGACTTCGGGGTAATGACGATAGTGATAAACCCAATGTCCAATATATTATTGTTGGACCTACCCCAAAATCTACAATGGGGACCCCATTAAGGATATGTTTGGAACCTGGGAAATTCTAGGAAACGTGAAAAAATCATCATTAGTGTATTATCTTATACTTGGTTATAGATTTCTTAGTCCTTTTATGATAGAGGTGATTAAATAAAATGAGTTTAAACAAATATATTTAGAAAAATTAGTGATTTTAAGTCTCTTTTTCCCCCATGTTTCTTTCCTTTCTTTTTAATTTCAAATGAATTGGATATTCTTTTTCGTCGGCAGAGAATACATTTTACGCTCTGAAAAGACTGCAAACAAAGAAAAGGAAAGTTGTTGATAGACGAGCGTCAAAGAGTCGAAAAATCAGGTCAGTTATGAATGGATGATCCATATGTAGTATAAAATTTGAGAATCCGCACCCTCTTGGCTCTCGATAGGGTGCCGGCTAGCCAACAACCAAGTAGACCTACATTGTGACCCTAGCCTGTAAAGAACCACTGATGCAAGCCAGATCAATTTATTCATAGTTGTTGACTGGTTCATCCATGCAATAACAAGTTTTGATCTTAAATGCAGATACGATGTTCACGAAAAGATTGTCAATTTCATGGTTCCAGAGCCCATGGATATGCCTCCCATGGCCCCCAAATTATTCGAGAATTTGTTTGGTCTTAGAACACAGAGTCAAGCTTCTTAAGTATGTAAAGCTTTAAACTAAATGTTCATCAAGATCATATTTTTGTGGAGTATTGGATTCATGTCCATTGTATGTGAAATGTTCAGCAACAGTCTTATTTAAGGATATCATTACCATGCCCTTGTACACGCAGTAATATACTTACATGAAGTGGCGTTTTAGTCTTTCGTAGCACTTGTGTGTTTACTAACTTGCTCTGTTGCTTTTCTTGTTTCTTTGCACTGCTAACATTACTTTTCACTATTTATCGAGTGTCTCCTCGCCAGTTTCTCTGTGATGTCGATTTCAAAGCAATAATTGACAGTTTATTCACCGAAACACCATGTACCGGAAATGGCCTTGGCCTTGATTCTTGAAGTCATGCTAGATATGTAATCAGGCATTGGAGATTTGGAGACATGGTAACAAGTTCCTATAGAGAATTATATATTAGTGAGTGAAGACGGAAGAGTGAACAACATAAGGTTAACGAACCTCATAAGACTTGGTGCTCCAGATGCATATACACATAAGTGACATAACACATCATTGAGAATTTGAGATCTCCATGCAAGAAGACATAATCAAACTCTGATGTACTGATGTAGTGTAGCAACCGAGTTTTTTCCCAAAATAATGTCAAACAAAAAAATATTTCTCAAATTAGTGTTAGGTTAAAAGTATTTCTCAAAATACTGTTGAAATAAACCTCAGTTTAAGAACCTTCGCTTGAAGTGGCGGCTTAGCAGAAAATAAGGCTGTAACGTGCTATGCTCAAAGCCAAGAATATGTAGTATGGGTCCCACCCAAATAAAAAATCACATATTTTTTTCAAAGTGTTATAACTTTTTTATTTATACTCCGATAGTCTGATCGTTACAAAAAATATATCAAAACTCATAACTTTTTATTATCTTTCATATGACACCAATATTGAATACTTCATCCGTCCCTTAAAATTTTGCCAACTTTTCTTTTTTGGATGTCCCACTAACTTTGCCACTTTCCCTTTTAAGTAAAGAATTTGTGGTTCCAGTTAATTCTCTCTCCTCTACACAAATCTCGACCACACAGTTTTTACTTTATTAATCCCTGTGCCAGTCAAACTTGGCAAAGTTTTAAGAGACGGAGGTAGTATATAAAAATAAAAAAATAATTAACACTTTAAAAATTTTATTTTTTGTGGTATAATATTTTTATTTGTACTCCGATTGTTACAAAAAATATATCAAAACTTTTAACTTTTTATTATATTTCATAGAACACCAATATTGAATATATAAAAATTAAAATATAATTTAACACTTTAAAAAATGTTATAACTTTTTAATTTGTAACTCAATTGGTACAAAGAATATGTCGAAAGTCATAAATTTTTATTATCTTTCATATGACACCAATGTTGCATATAAAAAGTAAAAGATTCTATTAACTTGTGCCGTTTATAATCTTTTTTTACCTTGCACGCAATTAATTCGGAGTGATGACTTAGAATAAAACAACATAAATTTTAAGGCAAAAAATAAATAAAATAAAATAAAAATAAAAGTGATCGAGTTTGTTCAATTTTATTTTAATCTATCATTCTTGATTAATTGTGTGCATGGTAAAAAACGATCCCAAACTGCACAAATTAATACTTTTTGTTTTTATTTTATATATGAAACATTGCATTCTATAAAAGATTATAAAATATAATGAATTTTGATATATTTTTTGTAACAATCAGAAATAAATAAAAAATATATAGCATTTTAAAAACAAATAATTTTTAAAGTGTTAAATTATTTTTTGATTTTTATATATTGAATATTGGTGTCATACGAAAGATAATAAAATGTTATGATTTTTGAAATATTTTTTATAACAATCAATGTACAAATAAAGAAGCTAAACCACTTCGAAGGAAATAGAAGTTTTTTTAATTTGGGTGGGACCCACTATTATATATTCTTTTGCGGGCGTTGCTACGTTGCAGTATTTTGGCAAAGCCGTCATTTGAAGTGGCGGCTCTCTTAACTCTTCTTTATTTGAGCAGTATTTTGAGAAATACTTTTAACTTAACACTAATTTGGGAAATATTTTTTTGTTTGACATTATTTTCAGAAAAAACTCGTAGCAACCAACAAAATACTGCTATAATAGTAGAGTTAATTATCAAAATAGGACTAAAAGTCATTCACTTTTCACAAATAGGACCAAAAAATGAACTATGTTTGCATATGACTAATTATGTGTACCTTGGACAATTATACCCTTATAGCTATTAAAATGTTTTAATTCCTAATAAAATAATAAAAAATAATAAAAATTCGTAAAAAATACTAAAAAATTAAGAAAAACATTTCGATATTAAAAATTTAATTAATTTTTTTTTCAAAAAAATAAAAAAAATAAAACAAATTAAAAAAAAAACTCAAAAAAAAATCGCCGCCGCCTCAGCACCACCACCTCCAGTCACCAGGGGAAAAAATGCCAAGTTCATTACGAATGCCATATTTATGGCAGAAAAAATGAAAATGTTGGCATTCGAAAAGAGAAATATGCCACTTTTTTGGCATTTTAAGAAAAAAATGGCATTTTTCTGGGAAAATGACATTTTTTTCATCGGCCAGAGGTGGTGGTGCTGGGAGGTAGTACAGGCGGTGGGAAAGGAATCCATATTTTTTTAATTTTTTGTTACGGAGTTTTACTATTTTTTATTAATTTTTTTAATAATAAAATTATTTTAAAAAAATTTTTTGAATTTTTTATTTTATAAAATTTTTATAAATTTTTTAATTATATTTCTACGATTTTTTGAATTTTTTTCGAATTTATTATGAATTAAACTTTAATTATGACTTTTGACTATTTTTAATTCATATTTAATGGAAGGGTAAGAATGGAATGCAAAAATAGGTATGTTTCCAATAGGAGTCATATGGTCCTATTTTGGAATAAAAACATAGCAAGTCCTATTTTAGGTTTTTGCCATAGTTTTAGTCCTATTTGAACTTATTTCTAATAATAGTATGTATGTGTATGGCAGTATGGCTACCAGCCTACCAGAATAGCAACTAGAGCGAAAGATGAAAGTCTCATTATAGTGAATGCTCTCAAATCTCATTATTCTCTGTGCACAAAAGATAGGGGTGGACATAGGGGTGGAATGAACCGGCCCAAACCGGCCCGTGAACCAGACTGGCCCGCTACTGTGCGGGCCCGGACCGGACCGGGACCGGATGGCCGATTCCGGGCTTTAGCCCAGGTTGGGCGGACCTGGAGGGCTGGGCTCGGGCCCTGTTTTTCTTGAACCGGTCCGGGTCTGGTTCATTTTTTTTTCAATTTTTTTTTTTTTCCTTAGGTAGGGTTGAATGGTTTGGGGAGGTTTGAGGGGTGGGGGTGAGGGGTGGGGGTGAGGGGAGGGGGGGGGGGGGTCGGGGGTTAATTAGAAAGCAAAAAAAAAAATGATACATTGGACCGGCCTGGACCGGCCTGACCCAGTTTGGCCAGGACCCAGTATCAACCCGGGCCGGTTCCGGGCCCAACATCTGAAAAAAAGCCCGGCTTGAACCGACCTGGGCCCGGTCCATGCCTAGGTGGACATAACGATTTCGGTTCATTTTTTATTTGTTTTCGATTTGAAATGGATTGGAGGAATGATTATGAAACTATGGTTTAGTTTAGTTCAGTTTACTTCGGTTCGGAATTGTTATTTTCTATAATAATATATCAAGATTTTTATGAACTTTTTTAGTTCGCTTTGGTTTTATTCAATTTTCTCGATTTCGATTCACTTGGATACGGTTTAGAAGATATACTATCTGATGGAGTATATGGCCCAGGGACCCCCGGCCCATAGACTCCCACTACTATAACAAAGGCCCAATAAGCCCAGGGAGCACAACAGGCCCAAATCACAGCATCCAGAGTGCCAAGCAGCCCACGACGTACACTTGGGTGCCTTCGGACCCCATGGCCGAGGGCTCATAAACTTACAGTACAACTGCTTTTAAGTACTCAAAGTTACTGGGAGAAAACGGCGAAACAATAGCCATCGGCACCTAGAGCCCTCGGCACCTAAAGGCCCCCGGAATGAAGAGCTTTCGGCTAACCATCTCCAGCCGAAGGCATTTTCCTCGACAGAATCTCCCATCCACATGCGCTGGATCAACGTACCAAGTACAAACGTCACATCCAACCACCGCATTTAATGCGGCCACATGCGAGTGCCAGTGCCACCCCGTTGAGGTGACCCCTCGACCACCAGAATGATGACACGTGTCCTTATCTAGCATTTATTGCTGCTATAAATAGCACCCGTGTCCCCATTTATAAACCACGCTGAATTCATACTGAATATTCACTCTCTCTCTTACTTATTTGCTCTGACTTCTCTCTAAGTTACTCCCCGCAGTAACCCCTTGGATAAGCTACCCCCCGGGTACAATATCCATCATTTGGTGCTCTCGTTGAGACGTCGAACAATCAAGTAAGAAACCCTCCCCTTCACTCAAAACACCTACCAAGATGGGAAGAACCACCAGTGCTCAGTCCAAGAACCTTGAGGACAACAACCTGGCCCTCGGTGAAGTCAACGCTCCCAGAGCCACTAACAAGGCTCCCGAGGGCGGGGTCATCACTGAGTTGGAACAGGCTGCTGTTGACCTGCACCTTCAGCTCCAGCAAAACGCTCCGGATGCCCGCCTTGGCATCGAAACCCGAAGGAGGGACCGGAGCGAAAATCAAGTGAGCCCTCCGGTTCTCACTATCGACGTACAGTCGGCATTCTCTGCCTTCATCCAAACACTCACTCAAAACCCAGGTGCCTTCGGCACTCTGGTGCCCCTTCAACCGCAAATCGGGGAGAACGCTGTTCTTCTGCCACGTCCACCCCCCTTCGTAAACCCTACCCCTCGGGTGGGGAACGACGAAGGGGTCGTAGCTCAAGACAACGCCTCCCAGGAAGTCCAATCCCGGGACCAACGCGGTGCGAACAAAGAGAGGCATCGGACCTCGGCCCTCGAGAGGCTCGGAGGAGCGCAAGACCGCCGAGGGGTCCAAGACCGCCTTGGTGGAAAGGCGTCCCAAAGACCCCAAGAGAGCGGGGGATCCGTCTCAAGGGCAGACAAGAGGTGTCCCCATCAGGACAAAGGCAAGGCACCACTTCATGCCGATGACGCAAGGCATTAAATCAACCAGGCTCACTCGACCCGTGTTCGTTCGCAGGGGGCGGAGGCCCTCCCGAAGGATCACAGGGACGAGATTATTGCGGCCCTCCAGCACCGGCTTGATG